CCCAGCTGAGGCTCTGGAGGCTCCAGCCCCCAAGCAGAGCCTTCCCGTGCTGGGAATGCGGCTCTGGCAGGGGCTGGGAGAGAGGAGCCAGCCCTGCTGCTGCAGCAGCCCCCCACAAACCCTGAGCCCTCTCTCCTGCCGCAGGGGGACAGTGGGGGTCCCCTCGTCTGCAAGGACCACAGAGCCGACTACTTCTGGGTCGTGGGGCTGAGCAGCTGGGGAAGAGGCTGTGACAAAGCCAGGCACCCCGGGATCTACACCTCCACTCAGCCCTTCTACAACTGGATCCTGCTCCAGACGGGCCTGAGGCCGGCACAAAAAGCCGGTCCAGAACAAGGGCCAGCCGTCAGCTCGACCCCTGAGCAGCATCTGGGGCCGGTGTCAGAGACACACATCAGCCTGACCCCTGAGCAGCAGTTGAAGCCAGAGCCAGAGCCGGACATCAGCTTCATCCCCAAGCACAGCCAGAGACCGGCACCGACCTCCTCGGCCTTGTCAGTGCCCACAGCATTCCCACTGCTGCTCCTGGTGCCGTTCCTGAACCTGCTGCAGGAGTTCCTGCACTTCCTGAAAGATAAAAAGGCTTAAGCAGCAGGAGGAGGGGGATCCAGGGCTACAGTGGACCAGGGCCATTTCCTGCTGGGACAAAGGTAGCCTTGGGGGCCAGAGGTTGCTCTGTCCTGCCCACGCTGCTCCGCTGCACCTGCACCGATGCTGACGTGACCCAGGTGTTGAAATAAAGTTTCTGTGTTCCTCATTAACTGTGTTTTCAGCCCTGCTCAGTGCACCCACGGGCTGGGAAAAATCCCTGCTCTGTCTGTCAGTCTGCTGGGCTGTTCACATTCGTTCCTCAGCTTGAGTGAAGATGTGCAGTGGCAAGGGTCGAGTCAAGGGAGATCGTGCCCAGAAGGGCTCCCACAAGAAGCGGAGAGGCCCAGCTGCCCATCACCACAGCTCTGGGGCACGAGAAACATCACTGTGCAGGCCCCAGAAATCCAGCCAAGGGAAACTGGACTCAGGGTCCAGTGGCAAAGGAAAACCAGGCTCAGGGTCTGGGCTTAGGTGGACAGGGGTTCCTCTTCAGGGCAGCTCTTCATCTGATAAATCCTTGCTCGTCTTCTGCAGGTCGAAGCTCTGGAAAAGAGCAGGTCAAGGAACTGCTGAGAAGTGACAAAGACTGCAACAGCTGCATCTGCTGTGGCTCTTTCAGACTCAGCCTAGGGCAGCCTAGGGCAGCAAGGGCTCTTCCAGGGGTCTCAGCATCGCCCCTCCCATCCTCTCCCACCCCTCCCATCCCATCCTAGCCCAGCCCACACCCCCAGGGGTCACCAGCACAGGGCAAAGTTTCCCATGCTGCACAGTTCCATCCTCTGCAGAGCTGCTTATCCCTCAGGAAGAGGGGGAGGAACAGAGCCGTCCCTACCTCCAGCTCCTGCAGGACCTGGTCCATGAAGTCTCCTGAGTGCTGTTTGTAAGCCAGGGCCAGTCTGATGGCGTCGTTGAAGAGCTGGGGGAAAGGACAAGGCTCGTCACTCCCAGGATGGGGGCACACGGGCACTGGGTTTCTGGAGCAGGTGGAGACTAATCCCAAGGGAACAAAACCCCCTCTGCAAACTCCACAGCCACCAGCCCCTCACAGACACAGTCCCCGACCCTGGGCTGCTGAGGGGCTCCCCAGCACTCAACCAGCCCACCTCACCTTCACCACGTTGGTGCCGTCGGCAGCAGACACAAAATAAAAGGGCAAACTGAACTTCCGGGCGAAGTTGAAGCTTTTCTGGGTCACCTTCATATCGGCTGGGACAGACAGAGGAGACGGGGGTCAGTCAGGCAGGGGCAGGAGATCCCGAGGGTGGACGTCCCCCCGGGTGTCATGCCAGGCACTGCCACAGGACCCAGCCAGGCCACAGCCCCAGCGATCCTGAAGGGCTGGCCGGCATTCCCAACGGGAGGGAACCTTCCAGCCACCCACAGAGCCAGGTGAACAGTTTTGCCAGCAGGTACATTGAGGCACTTCAGCACAGGAGGAGCCTGTGCAGGCTGAAGGAGAAGCACCAAGGCCATCCCTGAGTGACCTGGGGAAGCCACAGAACAGCTTTTTCTCCTTTCCCTGCCATTTTTGACCAGGTGCTGATCCAATCACCTTTGGGTTCTTGCTGGATGGAATGGGCAGCACGGTAAGGAAAGAATTGGAAGGACCTCACTTGGATAAACCTCAAATGCATCAGATCTGCATTTTTAATTGCTGGTGACCATAGGAAGAACACCTGTGAGACAGCAGGTGAGATCAGCAGAGGAGCCAGCCCTGGGGGACTCAGGAAATCCTCTGGACCCAACAAACAAGGGACATTTGTTCTCAGCTGGGGCAAGAGTGAACCTCACCACAACCCTGCGAGGTTGGGAACAGAAGGTGCACTCACCATCGATCTTGTTGGCCACCACAATGCAGGGAATCTCCGGGCGGAATTCCCTCAGCTCCCGGTACCAGCTGTTCAGGTTCTTGTAGGTGACCTTCCTCTGCACATCAA